CCCCCCCCCCCGCCCTCCTCCCCCTCCCCTGGCCTCGCCTGCCATGCGGCTCATACGCAACGTCCGCTACAGTCGGGTGGCCATCCTGGCCGGGATCATGATCCTCGGCCTGATGGGCTTCCTCTTTTGGTCATCGGCCCCGGGCCCCGGGATGTCGGGCGGTGGCCTGGCCGAGTCGCCGCATCTGAGCCAGCAGCGGCAACAGCCACCGGCGAAGTCGGGGCCGTCGCGCACCACCGGCGACGCCGATGTCCTCCCCCCGGTGGTCGGGCGCCCGGGCGAGGTGGTCAACCGCAAGGGGCTGGTGCCGAAGCCGACGCCTCACCGGCCCTACGATCCGTCCCTGCAGCCGGGCGTCCCACTCGGCGCGTGGTCCAAATACCTTGGTGCGTCTCCTCTGGGGGGGGAGGGGGGGGGGGGGTGACCTTGCCTCCAGGCCCGGGTTTTTCTCCCCTCCCCGGCCTCTTGCCGCGGGACGCTGACATCCCCCCTCCACGGGCCCGCTTTCTCCGCCCTCGGCCCCCTCGCGCTGGCCCCTTCCCTGCCCCTCCATGTCCGGCCGGCCAGAGGACCCGTACTACCACCTGCCGGTCCGGTCGATCCCGGACACCCGGCCGCGCGGGTGCCCGCGCGATGACGCGGTCTTCGCCTGGGCCGATCACCCGGAGGCCGATCTCAAGGGCGTCCCCTCGGTGTCGGTGATCATCTGCTTCCGCAATGAGTCGGCCACCATGCTCAGCGCCACGGTGGCCACGGTCCTCGAGCGGACCCCGGTGGCCCTGCTGGACCGAATTGTGCTTGTACGTCCCCCTTGCCTCCGTCCCCCCCCCCCCCCCCCCTCCCCTCACGCCGGCCTGGTCCGCGGCTGGCCCTCCCCTCTGCCTGCGCGGCCAGCACTGACCACCATGCATCCTTCTCGCGGCTCCCGGCCGCTCCTCCCTTCGGCCCCTCGCTCCTCAGGTTGATGACAACGGCCCGGAGACCGGCTTCCGTGACGTGCCGATTGGCGACGCCACCCCCGAGCAGTTGGAGCTCATGGACGTGCGCACTCC